CCCCCCTCCCCTCCCCCTCGCCCTCCCCTTTCCTAGGACTGACAACGAAATCCCCAAATTAGAGGAAAAAGAATCAACGATAAAAGAAGGGCCGAGAGGAAAACAACAGGCAGCAAATTAGCTTGGAAAAAGAACTTTAGAAAACAATAGTTCACGCAAAAAATTGTTCCGATTCATAAAACTCTTTAAAAAAAGTTATGAAAACATACCATTTTTAACGTAAACATATAAATAGCTATCTTCGACAAGTTTCAGGCAAGGATAAATCGATAACGAAGCTTTCTGTGTTTCCGCTGCTGAACCATTTTTGAATGAATGAACGCGGATTATCGTTTTCTTTTCCTTATTCGACTGGTCCTGAAAGAAATAAAACTTTTATATGCTTTTGTTTTTTAATGCACTTGATTGAGTATCTACACATGCTTACGCATGTGCTGTCTCAATCCCTTAGAGCCAACAGTTAAAAGGATTTAGCGCTGGGCTTTTTTCCGTTCATTCGTCATTACCAGGGGGAATCCTCGTTAGTTTCTTCTCCTCCGAGCACATCATCTGAAGTGCCAAAGCAGCAGAGACAACTACGCAACAAAGCAATAGCATTCTATTTACGCAAAACACGCAAAAAATACTTTATATGACTTAATGGACCGAAACATTTCTTACCTACTTTAATAATTACTTTCCTGTTTTTCATCGTTTTTTTTCTCTCACATTTTTCCTTTAACCCTAAAAAATACTGCACTGAGGAAAACTTTAGGGCTCTTACACGGGTACCACGCTTAACTTGGAGATGATTTTCAGTGCTTTAACGCGGACTTCGATGGGGAACAACCTTGTAGAATTTGAGCATTCTAGCTTATCAAATTCGCGAGTTATGAACTCACCGAGAAAAAGTTTGGAGGGCTCTTACGCGGCTTCCACGCCTGGGTTTATCACTTTCGCAGTCGAGCGAATTCAAAGATTAAATTTTGCCAACATAAATCCTTGATCGTAAGCAGTTGTGAGGTTGAGTTACATTCCCCTTACGTCCCATGTATTTGTGGAATAAAATTTTTTAATGTTGGAAGAAGAAAAAGCTCGTAGTTTTAAGAAATTAGTAAAAACTTGAGATGTATTGTAAAATATAACGGTAAGAAATGTTTCGGTCCATTAAATCGTATACCCGTGGTAGGCTCCTAAAGCGTTCCACTGAATTTTAAATCATCAAGTTAATAAATCAAAGCAAGTTGCAACGCCATTTCAATAAGGTATTTCAGTTCCCAGCTTGAGCGATATTATCAAGGTAGTGTACAGAATAAAAACAAATATTCAAATGAGAATTATGTTCATCCAGGATGCTAGCGTGAGCGATATTATCAAGGCAATGTACACCAACAAAAAAATATATCCAAAATAAGACACGACTATGCCCATTAAGAATGATAGGTAAGTACATAAATAAACCAATAACCTTATGATATTGTATGATGGAATGAAGAAACGGTGCCACAGCTGATTCAGCAACCCAATTCTCGGTGGTAAAAAGCATTTCGATAACCGTTGATGTTGTAGGTGTTGAATTCACTTTCGTCACATAAACATCGAAAGGTACAGAATCCACGTTTCTCTGAAAAAACCGCCAACGGGTTTCAGGGAATTCAAACAGAACCAAAGGGCCCAACTAAGCTTCAATTACTGCGTAGGTGCCTTCAAGCAAAAGAAGCTTTAACACTGAATTATCATGTGATTTTTTTGAGATTTATGCTATGTAACAGCTACACAAAACACATGTTGCCATGAGGTTGTCCGTGTGTATCTGTGTTTGTCTGTGTGTGTGTTTGTCTGCATGTGTATGTGTCTGTGTTTGTCTGTATGTGTGTGTGCGTGTGTGTGTGTGTCCGCAACAACTTGTTTCAGACGATTCTGGACAGTTAAAATCACGAAAAAAGGTGCTTTTTTAGCTATCAAATGCGATTCGAATCAAAAACTTAGATTTTTGTAATTCTCATCTTTTACCTTCCTTTTTGCTCTTCTCTTTTCATCCGTTGTTAAATATACATTCCTATTAATACATTCTCCTATTAGGTGCATTTTTCTACATCTGCAACTCAAAATACCACCAAAAAATCTTCTATCCAAAAAGGCAAACATTTAAAAAAAAACGCAACTATTTTTAAATTTAGACTTTTCTAATACCATTTCATGCGAAATTTCTTTGCCCCCCCCCTCCCCCCGCCCCGCTGAGCAATCTATTTTTTCACGTCCATTTCACACTTGTACTTTTACTGGATATTCGCTCTGCATTTTCGTTTCCAGCGATTAAAAAATAAATAAAAATAAATAAAATCGATTATAATTTAATTGTCGATTTAATTGTTATCGATCAAATTAATCGGTTATAAATGAATGAAATTATAAATCGATTATAAAATTATTAGAAATTAAAATCAAATGAATTATAAATTAAAAATTATAAATAAACAAAAATTAATTAAATCGATTGCAGCTTAATTATAATTAAATAACCGGTTAAAAAATAAACAAAAATAAATAATTTTAAGATTAAATTATTAAAAATTAAATTAAAAAATAAATCAAATTAAATAAACTGAAATTAAATTAAATTATCAAAAATTTGAATTTAAAATTTAAAATAAATTTTAAAAAAGACGGAAATCGATCCAATCAATTTATCCCCAAAAAAAAAACCTATTTTTTCGATTCCTACATTATCCTTCAGTTGGAATATACTATTAATTAACCTTTCAAAAAAAAGCCTCAATAAGCAAAATCTGTTTACCCGTCCAGCACTATAAAACTTTGCGTCTGCTGCGATCAAGAACAATTTCGCTGGTTCTTTCAAATCGATCTCCTTGGTGGATGCATTCAACATTTCTACATTACCAAATTTCTCATCAATCGCTCCAACACCCATACATACGTTATTCTCTGCATCCAACAGGTACTGAAAGCCTGCAAACACACATGTAACTAGGTAATTATCTCAAAATTTATTCTAAAAAAAAGAAAAACCAAATTTTTTTTCTCATTTTCGCTTTTCCACCTCATATTCACTTTTTATCATTCATCTCATGAGCATCTGCACTCATATACATTTCTTTTTTCTTTCAATAATCCCATTATTTACTTTTCGAAAGCAAAAGTAGAACAGCGTAACTGTTACTGAGAAAAATCCCGGGCCTTTCTGCGCTCCAAAAACCGACACTTTTGTAAATTCCCAGATAATCTTCACCAGAATATGCCTCCTAAGGGAACTCAACACACATACAGGCACGAGAAATACGGCAAAAACTAAAACTCGGCTCGGCTCGGCTCGGTCGCTGCACGATTTGCTAATTGACTCGCAGATCGCGTGGAAGGAGAGAGCAGCCAGGGAGTGAAAAGTGGGGAGGGAGCTGCCGCGTGACAGTGGTGGGCGTCGGATCAGAGGCACGGAGGAGGGCCACAGTGAAACGTGGGCTGATTAACACAATTTGCAACTTGGATCATAGAATATCCGTAAAAAAAGCCAACGGCAATGAACGTGCGATGGCGCACAATAGATAAGTAACAGCCATTAGAAAGCCGAATCAGAAGTGGACGATGGTCCAAGTGGAGCGGCCGGAGTGGGTTAAATCGATAAATAATTTGCAGTCTTTGGTAGGCCGGACCGTAATTTCTGAAGTAAATGGCCAGTCCAAATCGATATTAACATGTGCCCAAACTGTGGTTCACAAGCTAATGGTGGTTTTGACAATCAACCAAGCGCTGCCGCTAACTGGCTATCAAAACTACTGCACGAACTTCATCAGAACTGTTTTTATAGTGGCAAAATCGAAACCACATCCTCGGTGCCTAACAAGGATGTAAAACATCTTGTTACCGAACCATATCAATCAACCAATGTTAAAAATTTCCGTGCATTATTTCGTGAGAATTTTTAACGATTCCGAAAACAGACCGAATCCTTTCCTTGAGCTAAATAAAGGCTGAAGAGGAAATAATGAAGTAGAAAAGATGAGGAAAGGAAGAAAACGAAAAGAAGGAAGAAAACGAAGAAAAAGGAAGAAAACGAAGAAAAAGTTAAGCTTGCAGCACAGCTTGCTGTGTTCCACTGAGTTTTAAAAGCCTTTTTGAAATCGATGCGGAGCAAGCGCAAAGGAACTTTCAAGTTTTTTTTTTTTTTTGAATTTCTCAGGAATCTGAATCTTCAATTAACTTTATAATCAAAAATCATGACTAAAAGAAAAAAAAAAAGACTTTTTTTACAGTTCCAGTTTTACTAACCATACTGAAAATCGTGAATAATATTGATATTTGTCAATCCTTTTGGAATCGAAGCATTTCCAACAAATGGTACATCTTTGTCCGTTACGGCGTTCAAGCGCATCGACAAGATCCGCTCATTGCCGTTATAATACATCTAAAAAAAAGAAAATCTCGTTATCTAAAAATGCATTTTTAATTTTTCTTAAATTACTTACTTCACTCGCTCACCATTGCTGGTGTAAAATATGTAATTCTAATCACAAAATTATGTAATTTTTTTTCTCATTTTTTTGGGCAATGAATCAGGAATGCAACTGCATTCCTGTGTGTTTGCAATTTTCCTCCATCTTTGCCCTACTCTTTTTTTATATCTATAAAAACCTTTTCCTTCTCCACTTATCTTCTCCATTATCTTCTTTTGGCCCCCTATCCCCGTTTCCTTTCCCTTTATCACCTCCTTTTATCTCCCTTTTTCCCAAAATTTCCCGCAAATTAGTATATCCCACGGGGCGGAGCCTAACTCTCTTTACAACACATATTACTAAAACACGGCTCGGCTCGTCTCCTACACGATTAGCCAAAAATTTTTTCTTTGCACGACGGGGTGGGGTTGCCCGGGTGACCCATGCCTAGCAGTAGCAGCACCAGCCTCTCCTCCTCTTTCAATTTTCGTTGTTTGTTATTTGCTCCCTCTCAGGATATGAGGGAGTCCCAATCTACGCTCACGACTAGGATTCAGAACTCTTCGTCTCGAAGCCAAGATTATTCGAACTCGGAAGCTCCCTGCTAAATCCCCTGCCCAGCAGGGCATCTCGTTCGTCAGAGCCCAAGTGTCACGCTCTGTATTATACATATTGCCATTGCCTGCGTCGTAGCAAGTAAGATATAAAACTTTTCATTCCCCTAATTGGCCCACTAGTCTATGCACCATGCCACACAGCGATCCACACACGTAAACATCCCATCCCATAAAAATTTTTACTCTGGCCAAAAAAGCCACTTCCAGGAGTTAGACGGGAGACCCCCCTATACATAACCAAGGTCTTATTGCCGGGCAGTCCCCTTCAAATATGTAAATATTCCCCTCAAATATGTAAATCTTTGTGATATATTACGAATGCATAAGTATGTTTCCTCAAATTAGTCATCTACAGAAATAAAACAATCACTTACGTCGATATCGTGGACAATTTTCCCACCAACATCCGTATAATCGAAAGACATCTCGAATTTGCTGGGAAATGAAACCGGTGTTTTGGCTTCCGGAAGACCACTACAAAATAGGCCTTTAGGCATCTGAAAAACTGGTTATTATATCATCGAAGCTGCTCACCATGCAAATTTTCGGATAAAATTTCAACTTATTCCTCAAATCTCATTCACATCTCTTCTTCCGTCCTCCCTCG